TAACATTGCACATGGTTCCCATAGCAGAGGACATCAGAGCTCCAACCTCAAACCTCCCTGTAAGGCAAACTTTCCACTTCCAACAGGCCCCAGCCTGCTCCAGGGATCTTCTGCTAATGGTAGGGATCCAGCCCTTAACTGCTCAGGACCAGGTTCTGAGCCCAGATCACTTGTGAGCTACAGTAACTAGTTCAAAGTGCCTGGATTCTAGAATTTGTGCCACCGACTTCACAATTGTCAGCAGATTATTGATGTATATGGGGTTTTATCCTTGAGCTGGCAAAGTGCCCCATCCCTCCCTGCCATGCCCTTGCTTCACTCACTCACCCAGGGTTTGAGCAACGATCCTGAGACTCCTGAAAGTTCATGTCATGGATACCTTTTGTTTTAGCAGACGAAAGAATCAGAGACAGCATGAACCTTAGCCAAAGTCACACAGGGTGAAATGAAGCTAGCATTTGAACCACATCTCTTGATGCTAAGTCTGATTCCACTGGTTTCCCTAAATGGCATTATTTTATAAATTAACCTCAAATCACTTAATAACAAGGCTGTTCCTCTATGAGTTCTGGTTCAACGTTTTCAGTGTGCCCTCTCTTTTTAATAGAGGGCCATGGAGTCAGAAAAGGGACGGGAGGGAGCCTCAGAAAGCCACAACACCTATAGCTAGAAATTTCTTGGCTTTGCTTGCTTTCTCTGTATTTATCTCCATGGTTACCTCCAGTTTCTGCCAAATGACTCAGTGTCTCCTAAACGATAGCAACACAAAGATCCCTTTTAAAAATAAAATTCAGTATTACACTAGTTCAGCTGATATGTGATTATAACTAAAATTAGGTGCTTGTTGAAGGACAGCAGACAGGGAACTATGGTCTCTACCAGACTGGTATCCTGGGCACTCAGATCTAATTGGGCTCAGCTCAGTTTCTCATCCTGCCTTGTCCTTCCATCTAGGAACTTTGGTGTTGTTCTTTAGTACCACAAGGTAGCCAAGCATTGTAGCTCATGCCTATAATTCCGGCACTCAGGAGACTGAGTCAGAAAGATCTTTCCTTCTTGAACTGTGACCTTAAAGCTGCGTGCTCAGTAAGGTACATCTTAAAATGAGCATGCTCAGGAAGGCTCCTATCTCCAGAGTGCTTTCCTATGTGAACCTGAACAGGCTCCCTGAATAAACCCCTTACTCTTCCTTTGCTGGAGACCACTTTTAGAATAACTTCAGTGTTCTCCTTCCTACCATAGGTAATACACTTTTCTCTACTCTTTTGTTTTCTGGTTCTGTTAATTGTCTTTTCCCTCATCACGTGTAGAGCTTGCTGTGCTCAGTTTTATCTGGAACCTTTGTGGCTGTCAGCATCGGTGATGGTGGAGTGATGTGCGATGCTACCCTCTTCTGATAGTCCCGGGCTAGGGCTGCTACAGTTTGTAGGATTACCCTACAGTGCATGGGATTGTCTGGCCCTACCTACCAACAGTGCCAAGGTTGAGAAACCCTGCCTTACTCTATCCTCTAACAGCCTGCTATGATTTTGAGCTCAAGCAGACAAGAAAGGGAGCCAGGGAGTCACTTGCCTGCTTTGCAAGCTCTACCTTGCCATCAGCTTACTTCTTTGGAGTCTATCAAATGCAAATAGTTGTGGCTACCCCCGCCACAGATAAGAGAAGGCAGTCGAGAATACTTGGGGAAGATGATTTGCAAGTGCAGGTGAACTGTAAGGCTGGACAGAAAGAAAGGGGCCCTTCTACAGAGCCTCTGTCTGCAGTAGTCAAATGGCCCAGATTCTAAGTTTTCCAACATGGTTTCAATTCCAAATACTTTGTCCTTTCCTTGGCCTCAAAAGTAAATTTGAACTAGGGGTAATTTCTCATGTCTGCGATTCCAGCACCCAGGAGGCTGAGGCAAGAGGATCGCCTTGAGTTCAAGGCCAGCCTCTGCTATGTAGTAAGACCTTGTCTCAAAAGCCAAAAAGAAATAAAAAGTAAATAATTATTTCAAAAAATAAATAACACCTTGGTCTAACTCCCCACCTAGCTTTTTTTTTAAAGGCAGGGTCTTTTAAAAAATATTTTATTTATAATTTTTATTTTTAATTTTTATGTGTATGCATGTATTGCCTGCATGCAGGTGAGTGCACCCATGTTGTGCAATGCCTGCTGAGGTCAGAAGAGGTTGTCGGATCCCCTGGGACTGGAGTTACAGGCAGTTGTTAGCTGCCATGTGGGTGCTGGGATTCAAACCCGGGTCTTCTGCAAGAACCAGCGTTCTTAACCACTGAGCCATCTCTCCAGCCCCAAGACAGGGTCTTTTTATGTAGCCCAAGCTAGCCTTTAACTACTAATCCACCAGCCTCAGCATCTCTCCAGTGCTGGGATTACAAGCATGCACCACCACACCCAGATTCACCTAGATCTTGCTTCTCTCACTCTCTTTGTTGTAAAAGAAAATTGGGAAAAAGTTAAAATGACATATATAGAGCTGGGCATGGTGGTACACACCTTTAATCCCAGCACTCGGGAGGCAGAAGCAGGTGGATCTCTATGAGTTCAAGGCCAGCCTGGTCTACATGATGAGTTCCAGGACAGCTGGGGCTACAGGGAGACCCTGTCTCAAAAAGACCAAAGAGAAAAAAAAATATATATATAATCCTTTAAAGTATAAAAGACTACAGTGATGTTGATTTATAAATGACATTTTTCCTTCCTCAGCTGTAGTTCATGAACATTTGCCTGTGATGTTAACTGAACTTTTGTAGTTTTATTTTACTAGTCATTCCACAACTTACCTACCTAACCATCTTATTTTGAACTTAAAAATTATTGGGGCTGGACAGAGAGCTTAGCAGTTTAAGAACACTGGCTGCTCTTACAGAGGACCAGGTTCCATTCCCAGTACTCACATAGTGGCTAACAACCACTGATGCCCTTTTCTGACATCCTCAGGCATTGCATGCCACAGGCACACTCACAAACAAGAAGACAATACTCTCATACACATAAAATAAAATTAATAAATAAAATATTAAAAATATTATTACCATACATGTGTATATGAGTGAGTAGGTGTTGGCACATTTGCTACACCTTGCATATGGAGGTCAGGGGACAACTTTGGGGAGTCAGACTCTTAACCTATGGGGAGGGTGACCTATGTGAGACCCTCTGAGGTGGGTGTCTGAGTAGAGCTGGTTGGCTGTAGAGTGATCCTGATTATGTAAGGTCTGTAAGACAAAGTTTCAAAACTATTTCACACAGTGCTTGTCATGTGTTAAGTGTTCTATACATAGTAAGCACTGGTATTATACAAGGGTGTTGTTATTACTGTTAAAATGAGAATCTGAGGACTGATTCTCCCTTTCAAGGATGTAGTAGAAGAAAATGAGATAGGTATGGCTACCCTGAGGGCCTTTTGGATGACAGGAGAAGGCCTTGGCTACAGGGAGAGAAGCCAGCCTGCCCGTTGGAGACAGGAGTACTCCTCTGTCCCCTGGAGGCTGTAACTACCAGCATCCTGTCCCTACAAGCTCTGTTATTGTAGAGTGACTTGTCAGGGGCCTAATGTAGACCTACTATGATGTTTATGATGAACCTACTATGTGCACAGATGTTCTGCTACAGTATCTCTCTACAACTCTGAGAGGGAGATAGACTTTCCAGAGGACCAAGTAGGAAACATCTTAGAAAGGGTGAATGACTTCGTTAAGGTTGTGCAACTGGAAGGAGAGGCGTGTTGGCTCCAAAGGCCTTGCCCCCTCTATTGTTCTAAGATGCTGAGTCTACAGCTAGGCTTGATCTTGGGTGGAGCATGAGAACCTCCCCAGGGAGACTCCGAGTGATTTCTAAACAGCATGGATGACAGTAAGGATTAGGAAGCACTCAGCAGTGTAAAGTTTGCAGGCCATTCATTCTGCTTGCCCTTTTGCCTGGAGCTGCCCTGGGCCCTTGGAGAAGGCCACGTTCTCCCCCTACCTCCGCCCCTGTACCCAGGGCTTCCTGAGTGAAGGGGAAGGCACTGGCTTTGGTTCTTGGTGGTATGAGTGACAGGGATGTCCTGTCCTCAGTGGTGCCTCCAGGTGCTTCAGTCTTCTCAGCCATTCATCTAGGTTTATTCTTATTTCTTAAGAAGTCTGTAGGGAACACTATTTTTACATCTGCACCAGCTTCTCCTTGCTGGCCTATGTCTGCCCTGTCACCCTGTCCTGAGGTTGGCCCATATAACTAAACTATAACCATGTGTTGGTGCTGGGTATGATTTTTTAGACAGGCACAGTTCATGACTGATTCAGAGCTCAAGACCACTAAGCAGCCACTTTTGCACAGTGAGGTGACCTAGACCAACATTAGGTCAGGAGAGCCAGGCTAAGATCGGCTTACTCGGAAACAGACTCTGTACTCTTCTTTGGAGGGGGAGCCCAGAAAGTACTGGCTGAAGACCAGGATGTAGGCAAGGAAGAAAGCCAGTGTGGATTAGTGAGCCTGTTAGGTGGGGGCTATTGGAGCTCAGGGCCGCTGGAGATTTCTAGAAGACATGTAGGAAAGTCTCACAGTTGGAAATGATAGATATTCATCATGCACAGGGCCCAAACAGCTTTGGGCCCTGTTTCGCACTTGTTAGGGACTGTTCTCAAGGTCTTTAACTTTTCAGTGCTCATTGGCTGCCCTGTGTTTGTAAGGCAGGAGAAAGCTTCAGGCAGAGTAACAACCACCTTGCAAGCTACTGCAGTGAGCAGCCACCTGAAGTTGGGGTGCTGATGGACAGCTCCAGGGTCTGCAATAGAGCCAGCCCTTTTTGATACTGTTGGGTTAGGGTAAAAGAATGCTCTGAGCCACTGTATAACCATGAGTGAAAACTTTATTGCTCCAAGCACTTTACGTGAATGTCACTGACACCACATTTGGGCATATATATAAAAAGCACAACTTATTGTACAATCAGTTCAACTTCTTGACTCATGCACTGTACAGACGCTTCCCAGGACCTTTCCCAGCAAAATGGATGGGCTTCAGGAGCAGCAGCTGCACTTGTCTGAGGCCCCTTTGCAGATACATCCCCGGGCACACTTGGCACAGCCTGGGGGGCAGCAGGGACAGCAGCCTGAAAGGGAAAGAAGGTAGACAGATCAGCTTTGGGTCCTCACTTCCATTTCCCCACTGTCTCTCCTATGCCTTAAATGAAGTAGGCCCCCAGTCCAGGAGGCCATGGAACTTGAGAGCTGGAAGAGACCTCAGGTGTCCTCTAAACAGATAGCACATATGACTAGACAGATAGGAAGGCAGGGCTCATGACCCCAGGCCAGGACTTTGTCCCCTTTCTCACTGTGCAGGACAGAACCTGCCCTCAGCCCCTCCCTGCTCCAAACAGGCTATGAATGTCCTTGGTGCTAGGTGGGCTCCAGCCCAGGGGAGCTCTGCCCCAGGTTTCTACTCTGGTATCATTTCAGATCCTTGCCAATGGGAAAAATGGCACCCAGAGCCTCCCACTGCCCACACTGGACAGAGGGTGGACAGTAAGGGATTGGGCTTTTCTTGCTTCCACCCTGTGGTGTCCAGTATCCAGACTTACTTTTGCGACATGTTTTACAGCTGCAAGTTGTGCATTTGCAGTTGTCTCCACAGATGCAGATCCCTCCTAGGAGAGAGGTCAGAGCCATCATGAGTATGAGGACAGAGACAGGGTAGACACATGGCTGCTGCTGCAGAGCACCGGTGGGGAGTGGCAGGACAGGAGGATGATAGTGCTGTTGAGGATGACCTCAGTGCTGAGGATGGCCCAAGGTTCCAGTGACAGGCCACCCATGGGAACTGAGACAGTTGTACCTGCTCTACCTGGATTACTTGTAAAAATGCACATTCCTGACACTAACCCTGACCTGACCCCTAACCCTTGAGTTAGTCTGATTTGTAAGTCTGGATGGGGAAAGAATCACTATGTTCAAAATGCAGCATGGATGATACTGAAGTCTAATCAGGCTCCAGGACCACCAGCAAGCTAGGCCATCCCCAGCAAAGCCAAGATTCCCATGGGAACCATTGAAGGTCTTCATAGTGCCTTCATCTTGACAAGGCCAGATACCCTGACAGAAGAAGAAAAAGCCAGAGGCACAGCGAGTCCAGAAGGGAGCCGTACCATGCTTTCATGATGTAAAAATGACCCGCGCTTAAAAAGAAAACTCATCCCATTGATCATTTTCCGTTGCAGAATACTAGAAGCTTCTGAGTCTTTTTTTAAGTTTTTGGTACAGACCTGCATTGTTAAGGATGAGGGAGGCTTGTGAGCATTCTAGATACCATTTTCAAGACTGAGAAAGCTCAGGATGGTTTTGAACCCCAATCTCCTTCCTTCTGGCCAACATATTTCTCTGGCACCAAGCTTTTTGTTGTTTGTTGTTGTTGTTGTTCTGTTTTCTTTTCTTTTTTGGAGATAGGGTTTCACTTTGTAATACATGTAGCCCAGATTGACTTTGAATTTGGAATCCCTCTGCTTCAGCCTTCCAAGCCCTGGGGTTACAAGTACGGATCACTAGGTTTTAGAGAATCAAGGTTCTACCCAAGCCTCTTAACCACTCCCCTGGTATATGTAAGTGTCTGCTGATTTTAACCTTTCCATAGCTTCCCATGTATCTGAGCAATTGGGAACAACTAACCTCAGTTTCCAAAGGAGGAGCCTGAGGCCCAGAAGTCAGCTATGCTGGTGACTGAATAGCAGCAGAGGCCCAAGCTCCTTTCCCTTCCTGATGGCTGCCACTAGGGGCTTGTAGCTAGAAAGATGGAGGTTTTCAGGTCCCCTCCTTTGCTGGTCCCTGGACCAGGACTACCAGTTCCAGCAAATCTGGCTGGGAGTCAATAGAGTGGAACCTTCCCCATGTCATAGTTCCAGGACAAACCCAATCCATTGCCCCTAAATGGAGAAAGAGGAGTCTGCAGCAGTCCCATACGTTCCCTGTAGGATGCAGGGGCAAGGCTGCAGGACCCCAGGCCAGCCTCCTTACTCACCAGACATGCAGGTGCATTCCCCAGGGTCCATGATCCAGGTGTGTGAGTGGCTGAGGAAGGGAGGCTGAAACAGCAGCAGCTGGAGGCTCCCCCTTTATAGTCGAGTAGGTGTGGACTGCAGCTTGCCCCACCTCTCCCCGAGGCCAGACGCTGCTCTGCACACTGCTCTGTGAGACACTCAGGGCTAGGGGGTGGGGAGGACAGGCAGCAGTGGGCATGGGGGAGGTGGAATAATTCAGTCATTTGGTGGCTTTCACAAAGGGCTGTACTTGTCCCATCTGGTCACCTATCAGAGTGTCAAGGAACCAGCATCAGGTTCCAACAGCACTCAGTGCTCAGGTTGGCAGCCACACGCATCCCTCTTTGGTATCTTCTGCACAGAGCTACCTGCCACTTTTGTCCCTCCTTCACTCCCTTTCCCCTGGTTGGTCATAAAAGCCCTTACCATGGCTAAGAAGATGGAAAACAAGGAGGATACGCTCACCTGGACTTGTAACCATTCCTTCTGAACCACTAATGGAGTGAAAAAGCAAGAAAAGACTTGAGGGATGAATTAACCAGTCCCAACAGCCATCCCAACCCTAGTCTTTGGTAACACAGCTACCTACCTTTCGGTGGAAGGAGAAGTGCCCATAGAGGATGGGACATGCCATTCAGAAATTCTGGAGCTGCCATGATCTCTCCCTCTCTCAGCTAGACGAAAGCTCCCCTTCTGTGTCCCCTTGGTGAAATGCGTGCACACGTTTCATGCTATGTTTATTCCTGCTCTATGATTATTCATGTGCTAAGGTATCTCTATACCTGCTCAGGGTCCTGCACAAGGGTTTGTGGATGTTGTGGATCGATAAATGAAAGAATGAATGAGTCAGATGAAGTATTGAATGACTGAAGGCATGAATGGGAAAGCGAATAAATATAAGAACAAATGAATGAGTATATGAACAAAAAATTATGATTGGAGCAATGCTTGAGTGTCCTGCACGCAGCTCCATGGGGCCCTCTGTTGAAAACAGGCTTCACTCTGTTCATTCAGAAAGGGAAAAGCACGTATCCCGGTCCTAACCATGCAGATGCTTCTTCTCAGTCCTCAACTTTCCCATCCATCATCCATAAGGGCCACCTGGGCCTCAGCCTGACCCAAGGGACAATGGGCTTGCACTGAGAATTTCTTTTATTTTCTTTCCCTCCCTCCCTCCCTCCCTTCCTCCCTCCCTTCCTTCTTTCTTTTTTTCTTTCTTTCTTTCCTTTTGAGACAGGGTCTCACTATGTAGCACTGGCTGGCCTAGAACTCTATGTAGACCAGAGATCCACCTACCTCTACTTCCCAAGTGCTGGGATTAAAGGTATGCACCACTACACTCAGGTAAGTTGAGGGTTTCCACTGGGGAGAAAGGGACTTGCACCATGACTAGCAGAAGGGCTCCATGGCAGGTAGTGGGGAAGGAGAAGTAGAGGTAACACTATGATGATATAGAAATGGTCCCTAAAGACATCCACAGTCCTTCATTCTTTACCTTCTAGGGGCCTGCACTGTGCTGGGTGCTGGGGAACCAGTGTTGAGTAAAACCTGAGCTCCCAGTTCAGAGTGTCAGGAGCACATCTTAGCTCAGGAGTTGCACATCGGCCGGTGTGTGCTCAGTCTTCCTGGCCTGTACTTGGAGCTGCTATCCCCCACTTCTAACAGGTATTAATACTTCCATGAGCCTGTCCCAACCAAATAGCCCATAGAGAGAAAGGGGTGCTCCTCTACCCATCTAAGCCACCTTTCCTCCCTCTTTACCACCTGTGCCAGCAGCTGCTTCCTCCTTGGATGACTGACAGTGTGACATTGCTCTAGGCCAATTGAACGACAATACCCAAACCCAATCCCTTAATACAATATTTCCCAACTTCTGGGCTGTGTAACACCGGGCGGTCTAGTCCAGGTCGAACTGTGCCTGGGCTGGTCCAGGGCCTGGGAAAGAGCATCCACAGGCCTAGTTCACTGTTCTTCCCATTTGCTAGGAAGGTAACAGTAGGACACATATCCATCCTGAGGACTGGAACTACTAGGAGCAGAGCTTCAACCCTCACTTAGAAATAAACTGGGCTGGCAAGATGGCTTAGTGGATATGGGCACTTGTTTCTGAGCCTGACAACTGAGTTTGATCACTGGAACTCCCATGGTGGAAAGGGAGAACTGACTCCTGCTGACCTCCACACGCACACCGTGGCATGTGTTGTCACCCCTCACACACAATGAATAAATGTAAAAAAAATTTTTTCCCAAAATTTAAAAATTGGCTATGCAGTTAGGGTGAAAAAGACCCCAAAGCAAAGTAGCCAGTTTCTTGGCTAAAAGTCAAAATGTTCTTGGGCCTGTTAGCAACATACTCTGTTCCAAAGGCCAAAAATGTCGAAAGTATTTGGGAGCTTGCATCTAATCCTTAAAAGATTTTAGGGTTACCTCTTCAGAGGGGGGAATGTTAGAGTAGCCAAAAGACCCATAAAAATAAACCCATAAAAAAGTCAAAGAAGAAGAAAAAACACTTTGGGAGAAGTGAACTTTATTTAGCTTTTCTTTTTTTCTTTTTTTTTTTTTTTTTGTGGGATTCCAGGAGCCCTTTGAAGATCTGACAAGTAATTTCTAGATCGTCTATGGGCATATTGCACAAAAATGCATACTTCCACTACAGGGGTCTGGAGTAGCCCTGGCTGGCCTCAAACTCTTGCTCCTCCGGCCTCAAAGTGCTGGGATTAGAGAAGTGTGCTATCGAGCCCAGAGCTTTTCTTTTATCATACAGTAATTTGACTCCTTTGAGCCACCACTTTCTAAATATCTCCCCCGCCCCAGGAATGATCTCTACTTTGTACATAAGTACATCCAAGTAATTTTCTCCCAACAATGAGACAGGGTGCTTGAAAGCAGCGTCTGATGCCACCTCTTACACAGCACTGAGTGACTGGGTGTCTCCCATCTTGTGCAGGTAAAAGCTGACCACGTGCTCTCCATAGCACCCTCTGCTACAGAGAAATTTCTGGCACTCATAGTCTGATCCCAACTTTTGGTCTTCCCCACGTCTCCATACAAGGTTTCCTTTTATCTTTCTGCTCCTTTTCCTCCCTCTTGCCCTTCCTCCCACCTTCCCTCTTTTCCTTCCTCCCTTTTCTGTTCCTTCTTTTTTAATTTTAAAATCCATTTATTTGAGCATACATGTGGAAGTCAGAGGAAAAGTTGTGAGAATTGCTTCTCTCCTTCCATCATGTGGGTCCTAGGGATCAAACTCAGGTCTTCAGGCTTAGTGGTAAGTGCTTTTACTCACTGAGCCACCTTATTCCCTCCCTCCCTCCCTCCCTTCTTTCTCTTTCTTTCTTTCTTTCTTTCTCTTTCTTTCTTTCTTTCTTTTTCTTTCTTTCTTTCTTTCTTTCTTCTTTCTTTCTTTCTGTTCATTTGAGACAAGGTCTTGTTATATAGCCCTGACTGGCCTGGTACTTGCTATATAACACAGGTTGACCTCAAACTTGGAATTCCCCCTCCCTCAGACTCTGAGTACTGGGATTACAGGCTCATACCACCATATCTGAACCTCTTTTATTATTTGCCTTTTGAGACAGGGTCTTACTATCCCAGGCTAGCCTCTAACTTGCAGTCCTCCTGAGTGCTGGGATCATAGGCATGGGCCTCCCCACCCAGCTAGGACCCTCTTTCATTGTTTTTGTTGAGACATGTTCTCCCTGTGTGTCCCAGACTAGCTTGGAAACTGCAGGTCCTCCTGAGTGCTGACATTTCAGGCATGAGCAGCCACACCCAGCTCACAGGACCCTCTTGATGTGCATCTTCCCAGGAGCAGGCTGGAGCCAGCAGTTTTATTGTGCTGCAGGTGAACCGGCTTCCCTCAACCACAAGCATCTCAGGACAGAGGCTGTGGTTTCTAGTCTTCATGTTACATGCCCAGGCACACTGAATGCTTCTACATGGTGGGTGCTCAATAAATATTCATGAGCCTACAATAACTAATGGCTCAATGAACAGAACTACCTCTAGGTGGTCTTTTTTTTTGGCCCTGGTCCAGAGATTCACAGGGCCTCACAGTTCACCAGGAATAGGCAAGAACTTGAGAGCAGAAACCCACTGCCTGGGTTAATCCCAGCTTTCTTTCATGTTCCTTCTTGGCTACATGATTTAGGGGATGCTGTTTGATTTCTCTGAACCTCAGTTTCCCCATATGCAGAGTCTGGCCCATGTAAATGTTAATCCTACAACTTTTGTCATGAAGGTTAAAAGAGAGGACAACAGCCTACCTGATGCTCTGTTCAAAACCTGGCAGGAGACTCTGCATTAACATTATGACCATTAACGCTGTCATCATTACCTGTGCCTGTATGACTTGGCAACTTGACCCAGACACCCACACTGTGTGTGTGTGTATGTGTGTGTGTGTGTGTGTGTGTGTGTGTGCGTGTGCACATGCACGTGCTGGGTAAGGAACTCAAGGCTGTGTTAATGCTAGGCAAGTTCAACCACTGAGCCACATTCCCAGCCTCTATCCATGCATTTGTGTTTCAAGCTGGCATTCCTCATAGGTCCTGGTCCTGACCAGAAAGCCATAAGCAGTACAGCCTGTTGGAGGCTGAGTCTCTTCCATCCCTGCTTTTAAATTCAGCCTAGTAGCCTAGTTTGAATCCTATAGCCTGGGGACCACAGAGTTTGAATTCTTCTGACTACAATTTTCTCTCTCTCTCTCTCTCTCTCTCTCTCTCTCTCTCTCTCTGGTGTTGTATGCAGTGCATGCACATGATTGTGTAGGTATTCATGGCTGTGTGTGCGCATGTAGAGGCCAGAGGAGGGCACCCAGTGTCTCCCTCTAACTTTCCCCACCTTACTGCCTGTGTGACAGGGTCTCGCTGAACCAGATTCCTCCCTTTTGGCTAGGCTGGCTGGTCAATCAGTTTCTGGAATTGACCTGTCTCTCTCAGTGCTGGAATTACAGGCATGTGCAGCCTGACTTTTAGCACGGCTACTAGGGATTCAACCTTAGATCCTCATGCTTGCATAGCAAGCAATCTTACCCATCAAGCCATCTCCTCAATCCCAATTTCTTCTTTTTTCTTTTTTCTGTAACCCAGGCTGGCCTCAGACTTGTGATCCTCCTACCTCAGCCTCCTGAGTGCTGGGAGTTTCTAACTGTAGTTTCTATCTGTCAGGAGGTGAAATCTGTCCTCTGCCTAGAGAGCCTCTTATGGGGGCATTCTTGGACTTATGTGTAGGACTAGGCATGAGATATAAGGGACACATTCAGAGCAGGCAGAGGCCCTGTGCCCAATACCTCATCTTACACAGCCACCTCTAGAGGAGCCCCTGACAGTGAGGGGCCTGCTGCTAGTGGCCAACTGGGTATTCAGAAGACCAGAGAGAACGACCAAGCCCCAGTGACTGAGCCCAGGCAGTGGGAAGAGGAATCTGTGCTGGGTTCTGAGGCTGGTTGCCAGCACCCACGCTTTGGCGACAGAATCCTTCAGCAATCAGGAGCCTGTGTGGCTTTGCAAACCGTTGATTAGTTCATTTTTATTAGAAAAAAGATTCAAACACTAAAAAAAAAAAAAAATACAAAGAACAGTATTCCCAACCCGCTGTAGCTACCACCCAGAATGAGCAAGATGCCAACGTGTCCTCTATGCTTCATCTCTTTTAATTACAAGGAATAAAAGCTCAACAGCTCATGCCTTTAAACACAATGGGTGTGCTACTGACTCCCAAGCTGGGGCCTCTCAACTGAACTCCAGTCTCATGTGTTGGCTGTCTCTCAGCAAGCTACCCTGGCAATCACGTGCCATCTGAGAATTGTGTGTCCCCAGTGAGCTCCTGCCTCCCTGTCCCCCCATTTGAACCACCATCATCTTCTGCCTAGATGTGTTACTTGGTTCATGTGCCTGTTTGTTTCTGTTCTCCTGACCTGTCCCACTCCCTCAGTTTGCCACACAGCACTCAGAGTGAGCCTGCTAAGAGTTACATCATGTCATATTTCTACTTGGAATCCTTTAGAAGCAACAAAGCCCTTGGTCATCCATGGCCAGCCTGTTACCTCTCTATCTTCCTTCCTTCCTTCCTTCCTTCCTTCCTTCCTTCCTTCCTTCCTTCCTTCCTTTCTTTCTTTCTTCCTTCCTGCCTTCTTTCCTTC